CTGTGTATGCTTTTATAACCCTCGCCCCTGCCCAACCACCTCCTGGTTTGTTTGTCTATGGGACTGGAAGCGTCCTAGGGTTAGAACTAGGCCCGTCTTGTCCCCGCTGGCCCAGCACAAGGCCCAGCACACAGAAGAAGGGACTCCGTGAATATCTGTTGGTTGCATGAATGAATGAGTGGCCATTCAAAGCCGTCCTGCCCCAGGCCTCAGCTACTGGACGATGGGACTGGCTAGTCTAGAGACACCAGGCAGGGCCGGGGTGGGGGGAGTAAAGGACCGGATGTGGCCCTGCGTTGGAACGGAACATGGAAACCACCCTCCTCACCTCCTGCCCCGTGATCCAGCTCCCCCGCCGAGCCCTGGGCAGCCGGAGTAAATAAAATATCTCTGGAATAATCGATAATTACTGCACTCAAATTCCCACTCAGCTCCGTATCTGTGACTTAAAGCTGCCCCTGAACACTTCCTCGGCGACACAGCCCGCGTCAGGCCACCCGTGTGTCTGACCTGGCTCCTTCTCCTGCCCGGGACCCTGGTGCAGGTGCAAACCGTGGAAGCCCAGGACACCCTCTGCTTCGGGGGACTCGCCTCCTCCAACGCCCACGCCTGGCGAGGGCGACTCACACCTGAAGTCACGGTTGCTGGCATTCAAACGTTCTTCTCTTTCCGCACACACACTGGGCTTTCCTGACATCCTGGGAGAGGGCACGGGAGAGGCTGGAAAGGAAGGGGGGTGGGGGACGGGGAGAGAGCAGGACACGCTGCCCCCACCCCCAGCCCGGTGGGGGACACTCTACTGGGGTGATGATGGACCGCGAGGACACATGGAGAACAGGAGCCCGAGGGAGGCTTTCTGGGGTGTGGGGGAGGGGCTTGGCTCTTCCCTTCACCGTCAGACCCAGAGAACAAAGTTAATTGTCCCTTAGGTGTCGCCGTGCAGACTCTTTGTGAAGGTTAAAAAAAAGAAGTTCTTTCGCTGTGACTAAAGACATCATAATGAATGTGGCAAGACTAGAATTCCGAGTTCCAGCAGCTGAGGCTGAGCGACGGCATCCGCCGCCGCCCCTGGAAACGCGCTTTGAGCCCCAGCCTCCGCGCCTCCGCTGTGCGGTCGCGGTAACGATCGCCCGCGCCGCGCAGAGGCGCGCTGGCTGGCGGGCGCGCTCGGGCACAGAGCATGCTGTGGTTTAAAAAAAAAAAAAGTCATAGAATAAAAAGAAACTGTTTAAGCTTCAAAGCTAAAAAGAAGCAGTTGGCTCCAGCCGTCGAAATGTTTTATAAAGGAACAGCAACGAGAAAAAAAAATTAAAAAATGAAAAACGGTCCCAGAACGCTGAGAGAGGGCCAAATATATTAATACATGGGAACACGGCGAACCCTCCGCAGCCGTGAATAGGGTCTTGGCTCCCACGTCCAATCGGCAAGTGCGGCGCTGCTCTCACTCGCTCAGCGCTTCCGGTTGGAAATGCGGGCCGAACAACACTTCTTCCAAATAAAAGAGTGGATAGAAGTTATCCGGTGAAGAAGTTGCATCCGTCAGAGGGTCATGAGTTTCTGGACTCTGCATAGCACAGGGAGGAGGTCTCGGCCCCTAGAACCGGGAGACAAGGTGAAGGGTGTGTACAAGCCAAAGAAAAGAGAAAGCAGACCACTAGAAATAAACACGAATAGACTTTTTTCTCCCCGGTAATCTGCTGAGTGTGGGACACGCGCCGCTGGAGAACCTCGCTGAGGGTAAGGGGGTGGGGTAAGGGGCGGATGCCCAGCGAGATTTAAGAGATAAACAAGGAGCGGGTTTTTAGCGTGAGTGCAGGGTAAGCGTGCACGGGAGAATTCCAGTTTCACCGGACTTCGGGGGCTGCTATTTGCCGGCTCCGGCGACACGACCCGTGGAAGGGGCTGGTGGTTGCTCTGATTAGGGGCGGATGTCACACACCCAGCGGGCCGGTGAGTCCGGCTCTGGGCACAGGTGGGTGAAGCAAGTCCCTGCGTGTGGGTCAGGAAGGCGTCTCCAGGGAGGTCTGGGAGCTGGCGTCTGGGGGTCTCTATGTAAACTGGGTCCTCTGTCACCCTCAGCCACCAGGAACCACAGCAGGCCCTGGTGTCACTCACAAGTGTCTCTAGAAGCAGAAACCTCCCCTTGTGCAGATACAACCTTGGGGAAGCCAGACCTGTACTCCCTCCCCAACTCTTTGCGGCTGAGATGCGATCCCCACAGCCAACCTCCAGCCGCCTGGAGCTCCAGAGGGAGAGGGCGTCCCCACGAGTCCCGAGAGAAAGGGAGACCAGGATACGTGGACCCCATCTTCCTGGGTGGGTGGGGGGCTGCTCCTAGAAAGAGTGCCCTCTGTGCCCAGGGTTTATGGTGAGACGGGGGCTTTGGGGTTTGGTTCAAATCCTCTCTCTTCCCCCTGTTGTTTGGGCTCGTTTTCCCATCTGCAAAACACTCACAAAGGAATCCTTCCTCCCTGGCATGAGATCGCAGGGACGCGCCCAGCCAGGGCTGGTGGTCGCTCAGGGTGGGCCCCGCGGGCAGCCGGCCAGTGTAGCTGTGGGTCCTCGGTCACTGCTCCAGAAAGACGGGCTCCGCCTTCCAGGCCAGTGCACCAGCCAGCCACGGCCTCGTCTTCAAAACGGACGTCGTGCAGAAGCCAACCGCAGCTCCGCTCAAAGCCCCATTTCCAGCCGCCCCTCCCCCACCCCCAGCACTGTCCCAGCGGAGGCCCCGGACCCAGGACAGCCAGCGCACTGCTCCTCAGGGGGCGCTGTCCCATATTCGTGAGCACCAGTTCCTGGCACTGCGAGGAGCCCTTTACACTGGCTCTTCTCGGCCTCCTGGGATCCCCACGAGCTCACTTTGCAGGTGGGGACGCTGGGCACCGACAGGCTGAGCACCTCCCCGAGCTCCCTGAGCGGACCGGACACTCAGCAGGGCTGAGACTCGAGCCCACAGCTCCCTGGACCCCTCGCCCAGGGTGCCCCGCGCAGGGATATCTGAGGCAAACATGCAGAGCCAGCGAACTCTTAGTCATCCTTCGACACCCAACTCGCTGACCCCCTGGGCACGTCTCTGCCTCACCTGGGGCTTGCGCCGAATCACGTTCATCGCCCCACAATTGCCTGTGCCGGGCTGCGCCATCGTCTTCGCATCCCCGTCCCTGCCCCTTCTCGGCAGGACTGCCGGGGGCAGGGCGCTGGCTCTTCCCCGTCTGCGCTGGCCGCACGGTGCAGGGAGGAGCTGGAAGCTGCCCTGGCCTCGTTAGTGTTCTTCACACGCTCCGGGCTGGCTCCGCTTCAGGACCCTTTGCTCTGCGCTTCCCTCCTCCACGGGAACCCCTTTGCACCTTTGGGTCCCTCCTCCTCCAGCTCTGCGCTCAAATGTCCCTCCCTCAGGGAGCCCTTTCCTACAACCGTCCGTTCCATGCCCCTTCACCCCACCGGCCCACCAACCAGCCTCCTTCCCGGGGTAACTCCCTCCGCGGCGCGTGGCTCTCCCTGGCCTGATCGGTGTCTGCCTCTCGAGTCCCTGTCTCTCTCTCGCCTGCAGACGCGTCAGCCCCAGGAGGACAGGGAGTCGGTCCGTGTGCCCCCTCCCGGAGCCCCAGGCACGGAGGAGGCACTCAGCAAACATTTGTAGAATGAATGAACCCTCAGCGTCTGGCTTATAGAGACATTCAGTAAACGAGTTTATTCTTAATTAATCATCTTAACAGAATCATCTCTGGAGCTTCCCCAAGGGACAAGCAGGCGCTGCCTTCCCACTTGACGGATCTCCCTCTCTTCCGAGCCGTCCGCCGCTTGCAGTTCATCTGGGTCGCCTTCCCTCCGGCTGCAGGGATGGCCGCCTCTGGGGAAAGGCTGGGGAGGAAAGCTCGGGCCACCCCGACACCTGTCCACCCCGTGGCACCCTGGCCCAGCCCCCGACCGGCCCAGCCCTGGGCCTGGCATGCTACGCTACACACTCACTGATTAACCCGCTCATTTCCAGCCCCTGCCTGCCCGCCCCCTCACTATTTTGGCTAAGTGGGTATTTGGGACCACCCCAGTCCTGGGCCTCTGCCCAGCTCTTCCGACAGCCAAGAAGAGCATCAGGCACATGAGGTGTGGAGAACATCGTTACAAGAGGAAATGCACCCCCCAACACCCCATAAAGGCACACATCTGTGGGTAGGGGAGGAGGTCAGAGAGAGAGGGAGGGAGGGAGCCCCGCCAGGGAGGACCGCTGACACCCAAGTGGGAGACAAAAACGTCCATGGGTGATTAAAGTGTGGGAGCCGGGGCCTGGAGGAGATACCGCCCGTGAATTTCGTCTGGGGATCGTTACAAAGAGAGGACGCCGGCAGAAGTGCCCGCGTAGGTTCTCCCCAGAAGCCGGCGCAGAGACAGTCCCAGCAGCGCTGTGGGGCGGCCGGAAGTTCGGCTGCAACGCCGGCAGCAGCGGGATGGAACACGCCTCGGGAAACGAACACCGGACGGCTGCGCACAGCGACGTGGATGGACCGCTCACAAGCCACATTGGGCCCGGGGAGCCGGGACAGAGTTCACAAAGTGGCGAAACTAAGGTGTGCGGAGAGAACTCGACAAGCGATGCAGGCGGTGGTCACGGGGCTGCGCTCTGGGTGGCAGAAGGCATTCAGCAAGTGCACAATTGTGGCACACTTGTCGCTGTGTATACTTGTGTAACGGGTCTAAATTTTAAAAGAGGCGGGGTGTTAGGGCTGGATGTTTCCCCAGCGTTTTCCACAGAGAAGGCGGTGGGGCTGGGGCAGCGGGAGCCAGGCAGGTGGGCAGGGAGGCGGGCGAAGGGCGCAGAGGCCGCGGAGGCAGGCAGTGCGCGCGCGCGCCTGCGGTTGCAGTGAGAGCCCAGCGGCCCCACCCTCGCCAGGTGCGACACCGCCTCCGCGTCCCGCGTTGCTTGGCAACAGGTCTCCCGGGCGACGCAAGACGCTGAGCCTGGGTAGTGGCAGCGTGCGGGGAAAACCAAGACCCCAGGAGCCATGGCGAAGAAACCGATGAGCACCGCGGAGGCCGAGCGCATGAACCTCGTGGCCCAGGACCAGATATGGTAACCCCGGGGATCCGGTGACCCAGTGGCCTGGGCCGTTCCCACCGGAAGTGTGCACAGCAGCGACCCCGGTTTCCACCCAGGCCTAGAGGTGGCCCGGGGTGGAAAGGGGGCCAGGATAGGGACGCGACCTCAGGGCCTTCTTTCTCTGTCTTCTCCGCTGGTCTTGTGGGCCCGCCACAGAGGCCTGACAGATTTCCCATCGGGCTCTGCAACCGTCCGCAAAGCTTTGCTTGAGAGCCACTGGTGGGTTCTTATTTTTAAGATTTACCGAATTTCCTAAAAAAAAAAAAAAAAAAAAAGAAACTCAACAAAAATTTTAGCATTCATTCATTTTGCGTGAGACGTACCTGTACACTTTACGTTCTGTCTGCGTTTCCTGGCTTTTGAAGGAATAAGACATTTTAATTTAAAGACGAGATCCATTTTTCTGTAAGATCTGTGGTCAGCAGCCGGGGGTCCTGGTGGGGTTTATTTGGCGGCCTCTCCCACTGCCAAACATCATCCCGTCTCTCTGAGGTTTTAACTGACAGGGAAAGTCACCCGTTCAGATGACACCGGGTAAATATTAGTAACAGCAAGCCACATTGTTTGCTTCTGAAACTCCAGTTGTCTATTATTGTACCATTTTCTAACCTATGATCGTCACTTAATATCTTTCTTTAAACTGGCTTTGTTTCACTTAATAAATTTATTTTCATTGGAAGCTTTATATCCCTCTTGAAAATGGGAAGCCAGCGGGATTTGGCATATAAAACACACAAGCACTGATTGTCTTTACATCTTTCTCTTCACACAAGCAGCCCCAGGAGGAGACACCGCCAGAGCAGGTCCGTTCCCATTGCCCAGAAGGCCCTTTCCTCCCTCCTCCCCCACACAAACTCCTACGCATCCCTCAAGACCCGCGGCAGGCGGCCCTTCCGATGTGACCTGGGCCAGCGAAGCCCTTAGACTGCTCTGTCCGGTGTCCCCTTGCAGTGGCACTGTCCCACCCTGGGACGGGCTGTAACTGTAAAATACCAGGTTCTGAAGACGTCCCACCACAAAAAAGAGGTGATGTTAACATCACGCTCTCCTGTCTACTGTCGCTTGTTCTGGGGCTACTGGGAAATTTAAAGTGACGTGGACGGCTCCGCTCCTGGGCGCACGTCACATCCCCGTTGGAAGCAGACCCTGCCGTGGAGAGCGGTCAGTGCCCGGGGCCAGGAGCTCGGCCAGGACCTCTCAGGGATGCTGAGGCAGCCAGAGGGGGGGTGGATATTGATTCCAAAATAGGGGGGAAAACTTGAAAATCAAAATGAATAAATGAACTAAAATCTGACACACCCACTTTGGCATCGACTCAATTCAGATTATTAATGGGAGCAAAAGCAGAGGGTGGGGGGCAAGCGAGGCAGTTGGAGTGTGATATTTAAGGACGCCTCAACTCAAGGTCACGTAAATGCTGGCTCTGCCCTTGCAGGAGTCTGAGAGTGGGTGCTTCCTTAAATTCCGCACCCCAGGAGCCCCACTCTGCTGCCCCCACCCCCATCCCTGCCCTGAAAAGGAAGGTACCTACTATGTACTCCGTAGTGATGGATTTGACACATGCCCATCACTGGGGGGGGGGTTCCACAGGGCCTCCACATAAGGCCCCGGACAGCCCCCCCACCCCCGTGCACCAGCCAGATGCTCTCCGGTTCTCCGCGCCTCCTCCCGGCAGTGCCAGGCTCGCAGCCGCAGGGCCTCCCTCCCACCGGCCCCTCGTCCCTCCGGGCACAGAACCGTCATCGGGGACTATGAGCTGCCGAACGCGCAAGTCCCCAGGGGGCCTTCGGGGTTCACTACTTTAACCTTCTCGAATGTCTCAGGAACCTTCTTTTTCCAGGAGATGCCGCCTGAAGGCTGAGACCGAAGCACGGCAAAACTGGGCCCAGAACTGGGGATTCCTAACAACCCCTCTCCAGGAGGTAAATACAGGTTTTATGAGTCCAGGGGTTGCAGAATCGATCCTTTCCGAGTGTGTACAATTTGCCAGAAGAAAACTGGAGAGCGTGCGGCAGGCAAGGCCTGACGCCTCGAAGCCTGAAGCTTCCTCCCTTTCCTGAGTTTATTGAGCACTTACTACGTGCCGGGAACGCCCCGGGGGCTTCGTCCAAAGCGGTGTATTTAACCCACACGACGACAACTCCTGTGCAGAGTCGGGCGCCCTTTTATGCCCGTCTTACAAACCAGGAGACTGAGCGTCCAGAAGCGCCAGGCCGTGCAGCCAGCGGAGAGAAGCCCGAGAGGAAAGCCGGTCCGTCTGATTCCAGGGCCGCCGGGCCTCAGACGTGCCGCCTATACGTAGGGCGCCGGCCCTCGCCTGCCGTGCCGAGGGACTGAGGTCCCAGGGGGACAGCGAGGCCGAGTCAAACTGTGAGGGGTTACTGGGAAAATAGCCTGGTACCTTCTAAGCACGATGGGAAACAGAAAAGGGGTCAGGCTTCGTCATTAATAGGAACTGGTGGGGGCTCCAGCCAAGAAAGCACAGCCCCCTCCCAGAGGCAGCCACCGAGAGCCCGAGGACGGCCACCACGCAGAAAGGCCTGCTGCGTGGACCCGCTGTCAAGCCCAGAGATCCAGATGTTTAAATACAATCCGAGTCTGGAATGATGGCTCAGGTTCACAAAACGCCACTCGGGTCCACCCAATGCTTGCGTGGGCTTGGGTGGCCTCCAGCCTGCGCCCTCTCCAGCTCTCTCCGGGGCAGACACGGGGGAGCCACGCTTCTCGGGGGGGCTGCAAGTAAAAGTCGCCTGAGTCAAAGTGGTCCTGACTCAAAGATAGCGTCGACCCCGTGTGTAACTCGCCCCGCCCCGCTAGCTTTAAAATTATGCCACTCTTAATGGTTTTTTTTCATACTTAGAGAATTGTACCATTTGAAATTTTGTGCATACAAGGAGCCCTTATTACTGTAATATACATAAAAGAATCTATATTAATATTCTTTATATGTAATTAAATTGGATTTTGGGAGAATTCAGAATTGCTCTGAAACGTGAAGGGGGAGGGGAGCTCTCCTGCGGTGTGTGAGAGGCGGGACCTGGGACCCGGGACCTGGCTGGCGATTTCACGTTTCTGTCTGTCCTGTGCAGCCTCCTCCAGTTCTGCTCGGGGGCATAAACCGGCAGCAGGAGCAGCCGGCGGGCACCGCAGCGGGTTGGCCGCGAGCCCCCCACTGCCCGCCCTAACTGGGATGGGAGCGGGGTTCGTCACCGTGCAACGGGACATTCTGGGGGCCCACGGAGAGCGCACCTCCCCCCTCAGTCTGGGATCCCCCGTCTCTGGGGGGGGTGTGTTTCAGCTGATCGAGTGTGAAGACAAGCCCCCCACCCCAAAGCCCAGGATCGAGCTTCCGCAGAGCTTCCGCATCCGGCCAGTGACCCCCGTGGAGAAGTACATCAAGGTCGGCAAAGTCGGTTTTCATTCCTTGTGTTCCCTAAGTGAGAAATGGGGCCCCCCTGGGGAGGGCGTTCGCCACAGGTGCACCCCAGGTAAGGTCTCAGCAGCACCGGGCGGGTGGGGAGGCTGGTTTCCACGCCCTGCCCACACTGACCCATCAGGTGGCTGTCTCGACAGCTTCCAGAGCCTCTGTGTCCTGCTCTGCAGGAGCAGAGGGGGCCCGATAGGATGAGGGGCTCCACCCATCCGTCAGCACACACAGGGAGTGGGCAGGAAAGGAGGGCGGGATGAGACCCGGGCTGTGGAGTCGGAGGCTCAGCCACTGACCTCCTTGTGGTCTCGGGCAAGTGGCGTGGCCTCTGTGCGTCTCTATTTCCCCCTCGTACTCCGGGGGGCCGACGAAAGCACCTGCTTCAGGGAGCGGCGCCAGGCCCAGCGGGAGGATGCCGCTGGGGGACTTAGAGCAGTGCCCGGCCCTTCCAGAGAGTGCCCGTGGCTGTCAGCTGTCCGTAGGTGCTGGAGTCTGGGCAAGACTCCATCCACGCATGTGCGTCGGGGGCACCAACGTGAAACAAGAGGATCAACACACTTGTTCCACGCCGGGCTAGATGCCGTGGAGGGAATAGGCAGCTGGTGCTGGAGGACACAGAGGAAAGGGGGGTGATCAGGAAAGGCCCCCTGTGGAGCTGAGGACTGAAGAATGACAAGGAGTCAGCCCAGGGAAAAGCATTCCTGGCAGAGGGAACAGCATGTGCGGAAGCCCTGAGGCAGAACAAAGGTTGATATGTTTGTGGGGCAGTGAGAGATGGGGATGTGGCTGGAGCTCAGTGAGCTGGGGTGGGGTAGGCATGGGAAGGGAAGGGGTGTGGATGGAGGAGTGGGCAGGGCCAGACCCCACCGGACCTCAGAGGCCCCTTGGGATTCCAGCCCCTTGGCAGTGGGAAGTAGGGCAGTGGCAAGCTTGGTGAATGACAGGACAGCCCCAGAAGGGAGAAGACTCGGATGGCCCTCCCGCCTGAGACCAGTCAGCTGTGGAGACGGGCCCGCGGCTAGAAATGGCTGAGCCCCGTAGGGCCCTGGACCTTGGCTCCCGGGTCCGCCCTCTGCTCAGCGGTGGAGAGGGCAGTTCTGTGTGGCGATGAGGAGGCAGGGAGAAAACGCAGGATGAAGGGGGCCAGGGGTGGGGGACGGTAACCCCCGCCCTCTGTGGGAAATGGTGATATTGCCCCCCACCGAGGGTGAACTGACCCGCTCTCCCCGAATGCCCTCGGTGAGGGCGCTGTTTTCACTGTCTGCCCTCTGGTGGGTGACGGGTGGCCTCCCAGCCGGCCCACCGGGACCGCCCCCTCCCGCCGCTGCGGGCGCCAGGACGCCTGCAGCCGGGCGCGAACTCGCCACCCGGAGCAGATGAAACCTCCGCGTCCCCGCGCTCTCGCGAGAACAGACCTTCCCCACTCGGGGCAGAACAGACGATCCCTCCGCACAGAGAGGGGGAACTGCCTAAAAATTCACCCTCATTTTCCAAAAATGTCACGGCTGTCCAAGGAACTGACAAATGGAACTGTGTTGTTGTTTTGGGTTGGTTTTTTTTTTTAATTTCAAAGAGAATCCCGTTTTCCTTTTTGGATTTTAATTGAGTTCAATGGCTTTTCGTTCCCGGGGTCTCCACGGTTTGGGGGCGGGGAGTGCGTGTAAGTGGGTGCACGCTTGTTCACACGCACGTGTGTGTACGCATATCACAATCTTCTCGTCACAGCCGGAAGGGTTAGAACGACCAGAACACCACCTGACAATGCTGTCAGATATTTTATGAAAGTCCGGGTTTGATATTTGTGTGCCTCACTCCCCCACCCCTTTTTGCTCTTGGACCAAATACAACTAACTTTGCTGGAGGTCATGAATCAACCACGACAAGGAAACGTTTGGGGACAACACGAGTCTCGGGGTCCCGCGGCCTGACACGGGCACCTTCCGTAGCGACCCTGGCCTCGCCCTCCGTCCTCCCCACACCAGACCTCCCTGCGGATCCTCCGGGGGCTCCTCTGTGGCCCACGGCGACTAATGCCCCCCCCCGCCCCGCACCTCCACTCCAGGTCCTTCCGTCGCCCCCGGTGCCGAAGACCACGCAGGGCTTCATCGGCTGGCGGTCCGGGGTGCCGGGCCTGAACAAGTGCCTGCAGCAGTACGAGCAGCTGAGGAGCTGCAAGGGCGCCTACGCCAGGGAGCTCGGCTGGCCGGAGCAAGGCATCTACTGAGTCCCCTCGGGCCGCGCGGGGTGGACGCCGGCGCCCGTGCCCCCGAAAGAAAGCGCTCCCCAGGGGCCCCTCTGAGGACACAGTCCCCCCCCCACATTTTCCCATGGAGTATCACAAAGAACACAGAATAGCCCTAGGACCTATTCGATGCATCGATACCTCCCTCCCGGAACATTCTTGTAACATTCATTCTTCAGTCTGATGTAATAAATAAGGCAAAAGTGATTCTCTGAATTGCTGGGAGTGGGGAGTGGGGTGGGACACCTTGGGGATTCCTAGGTATGGCTGTTTAAAAACGTGTGATTGAATTTTAAAGGTACCGGTCTAGGTCCCGTAATGCTGTGTGCGGCCCCACCTCTCACCGCCACTGTGTATAACGAGACCGTGGCCCGGGAGCTTCCGTGCCCAGGCACCCGGGGCCCGCCCTTCAGGAGCAGAGAAGCACTTCGGGGACCTCCTGACCCACCTTTCCCAGGATGCTGGCAATGTCAGCAGCTTTAAAGGCGGGAGTAGCCCGAGACTGGCCAATGAGAGGAGACTTCCAGGACGAGATGGGTTCCCCATGGGCTCTGCAGGGACCCTTCCCCCTTACCCACCCAGGCCACCCCATCGCATGCAACCCAGCAGCTGAGTGGCCAACCAGGCCATTTTCCTTCCCCTCGTGGACATCTGACCGTGACCCCTTGGTCTCTGCCTGGCCCTGAGGCTTGGCTCCAGGTCCCACACGTGGGGGCAGGTGGGGAGTGTGGCGCCCAGCCGGTCAAAGAGCGACGGAAGGAAAAGCCAGCATGCCCGCCGCCCCCTCCAGCCGGCCCCGGGGAGCGGGAGCGTGCGGGGTGTGCGGCAGCCTGGGAGCTGGCTCGGGTCTGCTTCTGAGCAGCAGAGGGCGGAGCCTTCCTCGCACCCCGAGTGGGCAAGGTCGGGGATCCCCCACCCTCCCGGGGATCCTCCCACCCTGCCCCTGGGCTCAGTCTGACCTCCATAATCTAGCCACACTTGGGGGCCCAGAGCCGCAGTGTCCAGGCAAGGGCCTCAGTGGAGACTCGCAGTGCACGGCGTTACCCTGGATGGTCTCCAACTCGACATTCAAACGGTGGAAGCCAGCCTCCGAGAGGGTGTTGAAATGGGCTCTCGGGTGTCACCACACCCTGCGAGATGCCACCGCAGTGCCAAGGTCGAGATGAGGCCAGCGACCCTGCGTCCACAGTGGCCGAACGCACCATGGCCGTGAACCTCCAGGCACAAAACGTCCTTCGGCTGGGCACGTAGGTGGGTTCATCCATGGGCACACCTCAGTCCGAGACAAGTTAGAAACTTCTAGGTTGGGTTCCAAGAAAGTGGCACAATCGAATAGAACTATCAGAAAACACGAGCCTTACATGCTCACACACACCCGACGGTAACTGACCCAGGGGCCAGGGGACTTTAAGTGGCCGTGGGAGCCGGAGACCAGATGCGCCTGGGAATTTCTGATTTTGTAGGTTTTAAAAAGCAGGCCTACTGTATATTGCATAACCCTCTGGCAAGGTGTGGGGCAGCCAGCCCCACCCAGCTAAACCCGTTAATACATCTGTGGCAAAGCCTATGACCCTTCACCCCAGATGGAACCGGGACTCTAAGGAGCCACCTACCCAGTTTGGTTCAGGTTTTGCCACCAAATGCGTGAATGTGCAGTCCCCTCCCCTTGAGTGTGGGCGGGACCTGGCGACTGCCAAGAACAGAAGGTGGCGAAAGTTGGAGGAGGTTACAGAAGACCAGCTTCTACCTGGCAGCTGTCTGCACCCCCTTCCCACCTCCTCCCCTCCCCCTCCCCTCCTCTCACTCCCACTCTCTCCGGTGAAGCCAGCTGCTGCGTCGGGAGACGCTCCGTGGAGATGCCCACGTGACCAGGCACGAAGGGAAACCACCTCCAACAGCTCAGGAGGACCCGAGCGAGGCCTTCATCCAACCGCCCGCCAGGCTCCGAATCCTGCCGGCAGTCTCGTGTCGGAGCCGGGGGCTGATTCTTCCCAGTGAGGCCTCGTGGGGGGGGTGGGGGCCCTAGCCTGTGGGAGACCCTGGCCCGGGGGCCCCAGCTCTGTGCCTGGATTCCTGACCCACGGGAGCTGTGAGATCACAGTACCTTTGGGCCACTAAGTTTGGGAGGTATTTGTCACTCCAAGACAGATAACGAGTCCAGGTTATTTCTTAGCTGAGCCGCCCCACCGCCCTGAGGAGTTCCAGGCTTCTGGAATATTCCCCGGAGCTGCACAGGCTCCTTTGTAAGGAGCAGAGCCCCATTCTGGGGGGACACCCTAAAACACCGTCGGGAAGGTCCGCCTTCACATTGCAGAGGCTGGACCAGAACTCCAGGGGGTCACCCAAAAGCCAACGGCTTTGCAAAGGCAAAGGCAACAGCGTTTATTTGAGATCAGCAAGAACAGACGTTCGGACACACTGGCTCAGGCAGAAAGAAGCCCAGACAGTTCTGATGAGGGGACAGAGGGGACGGAGGAGGGGACAATCCCATGCATAGCAGGGAGGTGCCGCTACTGGTGCCCGCGAGATAACACAGTACCTAACTCCAAACACTGCTTCCCATCGCCAGCCCGGGAGTGGTAGTGTCTGCTCTCTGATTACCTTCGCAAACACTGCTTCAGGACACAGTGTTGCTTCCGGCCCAGTCCAAGGTGGCAGGGGTTCGAGGCCCGAGACCCGTGAGGCAGTCCCCCGGGACAGCCGCCCCGATCCAGGTTAGCGTGGCTCCAGTTGTTGGTTTGTTTGAGGTAGGCAAACACTTGTCATGATGAGTTTGGGGGACAAAGCAGTCCCCCAAAGGCTGGAGTGCCTTCCCTTGAGTCAGCGGAGAGGTGAGGAGGCATCGGGGCAGGGCGGGCCGGGCGAACCCGGGTTCCAATCCGGGCACTCCCCTTTGGGGCCGCGTGGCCTTGGGCAGGTGGCTGGACCCCTCCGACCCGAGCCTGCTTCCACAGCGTGAGATGGGGACACAGACTCGGTCCCGCAGGGTGTGCGCGGGCGAATGGGCATTCGGATGAACGGGGTCTCCCGTCCCGCGCAGCAGGGAGCAGGCTCCTCACACACAGGGCGCAGATGAAACGAGTCCCCGTGATAACGTGCCCGACAGGCTGCCCGGCCGGCCCGGCCAAGGGACCCGGCCACGGGTGGCGGGCGCTACTTTTATTGCCGTTCTTGTTGTTGTCAGTGACAACCATCCCACCTGCAGAGTCAGGCTGTCCTCGGGCTGTTCAGTGAGAGGTACGACATGCCTTCGTCACCCACCGTGGCTAAGTGAGAGGCGCTGTCACTCGAGAGAGAGCCGGCTGCTCCCTCAACCCCCCTCCATGCCCGTGTAAAAAGGAAACTTCAAGATCTTTCTGGGGGCATTGGCTAAACCTTACAAAACGGAGCCCAGGTAGTGCTGAGGGTCCCACGTGCCGGGTGGGGATGCATTCTGAGCAGGCGACCCGGCTGGGCTCTGGTTTCAGAAGATGACCGTGTCCCTGATAGCCAGCGTGCTGCGTGGACAACGGTGATTCTGCGAGAGGACGGGCAAGTGGTGACTGTGGGTGGGCGGCAGCCCTGGCGCCCCAGGCACCCAGAGAGAGTGGGGGGTCCCCCGGAGAAATCAGGCCCACGTGTACGTGACCGTTGTCAGAGTGTGGGGGTATGACTGATTTACTGTGCAGGAAACTCTCTTTTAGCTGGAAAATAAATCTTACTTCTTGATGTCTGACTATGACAGCTCTCCCTCGCACCGGAGACCCACGGAACACTGCTCTGGGGGCCCTGGGCCAGGAGAAGCCCCCCGGAGTGCACCTGGGCTAGCATCCTAGCACCCGCTCGCCCCCCCCGCCCCCAGGATTCCACACCCTCCTCCCAGAGCCCGAGACTCAGAGGAGGAGCCATCACTCCGCGGTGATGTGATCTGTCACAGCACCAGTGACCCTGAGCTTGGAAGATTAGCTGGGTTATCGGGGGGTGGGGGCAACGTAATCACACGAGCCCTGAAACGTGGAGGGCGTCCTCCGGCTGCAGGCAGAAGGATTTGAAACGTGAAAAAAGCAATCCCATGTCATGGATGCTTTGAAGACAGAGGAGGCCAGGTGATGGCCAGGTGGCAGCCTCTGGAAGTTCAAAGCGACTCCAGGAAACAGGGAGCTCCGTCTTCAAGTCAGAGGGGACAGTGTTCTGCCAAAAACTGGAATTAGCCCAAGACAATTCTCCCCCAGGGGCTCCGGAAGAGCGCTCCGGCCAGCGGACACCGTGACTTTGGCCTTGTGAGACGCTGAGCAGAGGACAGCACCTCCCAGCTGCATTTCTGGCCCACAGAGCTATGGGGTGGCAAGCGGGCATCGCGTCAAACCCCACAAATCCAGCGGTAAAACGCTAGCCGCCAGGGGGCGCCACCAACGCCAGGCCAAGTGCTCGGTGGCCACGCCCTTTCTCAGGCCACGTCCAGTTTACAACTCGTAAAATAAACCGGTGTTTGCGACTGCTTTCCTGACTTCCCCATTGGGATGTCTAAAAGGCACCTCAACTTGACATTCAGCAACGAAATTCTCGATTTCAGCAGTCACCTCCCCCACTGGCCGGAGAAACCTCTGCCCCTCCCCAGCACGCCGGTGTGAGTCACCCCCCAGCAGTTAGGGGTCCTGGCTTCCTCCCTCTGCACCCGCCCTCCCCACCACCCCAAACAATCCTGTGTCACTTCTGGTCACATCGCATTGCCCAAAGCAAGTCACTCAACCATGCCGAACCTCCAGGCGGCAAGAAATCTTCATTAGCAGCAGCAAAGTCTGCCGCAGGGACCTGCCACGTCTCCCCTTGCTCTACAGTTTTATTTCTGCGAGTAAGGAACGTTTGAACTATATCAGCACACGTCCGTCTACTGCATCAGGGCTGGCCACACCCGGCCCGCCCCCTCTGTGGGTCAGCACAGTTTTAATGGCACCCAGTCGCGCTCATTCGTCTGCACAGTGACATGGCTGCTTTCCTGCTAC